TGCGCACGCTCCGCTGCTGGCGGCCCGGGTTCGGATCCCAGGCGCACACCAACGCACCGCTTGTCAGGCCATGCTGTGGCGGCGTCCCACATAAAGTGGAGGAAGATGGGCACAGATGTTAGCTCAGGGCCAGTCTTCCTCAGCAAAAAGAGGAGGATTGGCATGGATGTTAGCTCAGGGCCGACCTTCCTCACCAAAAAAAAAATTAAATTAAAAACATAATAATACTAAAAAAAAAAAACCTGCTCAACACTTACTCTGACTTTCAGTGCTTATCTTGTCACAGACCAGTAACAGCCGGTGGGCAGCACTGGCCTGGGCCCACGCTTTGAGTAGCCCTCATCTCAAGTACCACTCACGTATTTATTCAAAAGATATACTTTACCTCTGACATTCTTGCCAAATCCCATAGAAGAAACTTTTTTGTCCACGTGTTCACTATTGTTTGGTTTCTCCTTCATAACGGCGTCATCGCTAACAACATCACCAGAAAATTTTTTCTTTTTCCTTTTCTTGTGTCGAGGTGGAAGCTTTTTTGGAAAAGTAAACATTGGGAATATCACAAGAAACATTGCAATGGCACAAAGGAGGAATCCACTCCACCTAAAAAATTGGGAAATGTGAACAGCATTGACAGCTTTTGCATTATGAGTGAGAACAAATCAGCAAAGTAGAAGTTCATGGTGATAAATTTCTCCACAGAAAACTTGTTACTTTCATCAGTTGTAAAGCAGCAGAAGTTGAATAAACTAAGAAAATAGAGGGATCCTCCCTTTCTGTGGTGTAAATGAGAAATCTACCCAATAATTATACCAGTATTATAATGAATATTAAAATCAGCAGCTTGACTAGAATTTCATTCAGTTCAAATATTTTTGAGCACATATGTGTTGGTTCTGCTAATTAATACTGTTAGTCAGGGCTGGCCGGGTGGTGCAGTGGTTAATTGCATGCACTCCGCTTCTGAGGCCCAGGGTTCACAGGTTCGGATCCCGGGCGTGCACCGACACACCGCTTGTCAAGCCATGCTTTGGCGGCATCACATACAAAGTAGAGGAAGACGGGCACGGATGTTAGCCCAGGGCCAATCTTCCTTGGCAAAAAAAGAGGAAGATTAGCATCAGATGTTAGCTCAGGGCTGATCTTCCTCACAAAAAAAAAAAAATGAATACTGTTAGTCCTACTACAATGTGCCTTTTATAATAAATCAATAGCTCACAAATTTTATAGTAAAATAATATAGACTATAGCATGCTTTGTGGACCAATATGGACACTTTTTTCTTAGGAGAAAACCATTAATATCTGGGGTGAAATGTATTTAAAATTGCTAGTGACATTCAAATATTTTTCTGCAAGCACTTCAGACTGTATTGACCCCTCTTAGCTGGCCTTCACAATACTTAACCAAGTGTGAGGGCTACCAAAGACATTTACATTCGATCTTTGCCTTCAAGAACTTAAAACCTAGTTGTAAGCGAGCTAAAAATATAAGAAGCAATTCCAAACAATTTGAAGAAACAGTTCCAAGAAATGCAAGAATGTATACAATTAAGCATTAGACCATGTGGCATAGACTATGAATGCTGTAAAAGTTCAGAAAAAATCAACGTGTGTCAGAAAGCCCCCTAGGAGAACTAGACCTTGAGCTATGCAGAATCAAGATCCTGTCTTTAAACTCATCTGATGTAGCCACGCTGCCGAGACGAGGAGGCAAACTCAGAGAGTGGAGCTCAAGTTCTAGTCCTGTATTACAGCCCGGTGTTAAGGCCTTGGGCTTCTTGCCTGCATAACTCCCCAGGGGCAATTTTTTAGTCCCCTTTCAACCTTTTCTTAGCAAATAGAGGTCCCTGGTCCTGCCTAACAGGGTCACCACTTTCCATCTAGGATTCCTCAACTGCAAACTCTGTCCTCAAAGCTTCCAAGTTCGTAATTGCTCAGACTCTGACCTCTGTGCCAACAAGTCCGCAACAGTTATAACCAGAATGCAAGTGGCACTCTAAGCACCGATGCTGAATTCAACCCAGTAAGAACACAGATCCATTGCAAAGTGAAAATTCATTTTTAAAAAATAATGTTTCCATTAAAATGCTGTTATCAGCTGCTAAAGGTTACAGTTTAGCGAGAATATGATTCCTAGAACCAGTCATTAATAATCCAGTGTGCTATTTTCAAAGATAAAAGTTATACCAAATAAAGATTTTAAAATAAGCAGGAAAAGGTTTTATTTTGAGAAGATTGCTCAGAGCAGACTTCTAGCAATCTCGATTATTCAGTATAGGATCACAAACCCAGGGCCTGACACAGATTAGGTACTCAAAAAATTTCCTGAATAAAGAAATTGAATGAGATAGGTTTAAAAAAAATAAAGTCATCTGTCCGCAGGGAACATAGCTATGATAACATCTGGCCCGTTTAGTGCTTGGCTGCTTACGAAGCCTTTACTAACCCAGTCCTGCTCCTTTACCTCTCTGGAATCTCTTTCTGCAGACTCTGCATTCGAGTCCCCTGAACCCATTCAGTTCCCTAGACCCCTCATGCTCTCTCCAGAAGACGGCAGACAGCACAGTGTAAGGGGCAGTTCTTGAGCTGTGGCTTCAGGCAGCCCTGGGTTTTTATCCTGTCTTTACCACCTACTAGCTCTAAGATCCTGGGGAAACTATTTTGCTTTTCTGAACCAATTTTCTCATCTGAAAGGGTAGTAATAATTGTTTTCGGGGGTCATCAAAATTAATAAGACAATGTATATAATTTGTTGTTGTTAGTGATGTCGAGCTGTTTCTGACTCCTAGCGCCCCTGTGCACCGCAGAGCGGAACCCTGCCCCGTCTTTTTGCGCCATCCTCTCACCTTGCGGCGCTGTATCAGACAATGCTCTGCTGCTATTCATAGAGTTTTCATGGCCAATTTTTTCAGAAGCGGGTGGCCAGGTCTTTCTTCCTAGTCTGTCTAGTCTGGAAACTCTGCTGAAACCTGTCCATCATGGGTGACCCTGCTGGTATTTGAAATACCGGTGGCGTAGCTTTCAGCATCCCAGCAACACACAGCCTCCACAGTGTGACAAGGACATGCAGGTGGTGTGGTTCCCTGACCAGGAAACAGACCCTTGGCCGTGGTGATGAGAGCACCAAATCTTAATCTCTAGATCACCAGTGCTGGCAATGTATATAATGGACCTAATAAAATGCCTGCCCCAAATCAGTAATCAATTCATAGTAGCTAATTTTGTTTGTTTTTATGTGGATCTGCACTCAAGTCCCCCACTCCCACCCAGAGCCACTGACTTAAAATTATATGCAAACATTAAAGATACACTCATAGTAGCCCAAAGTGAGAGTAAATAACAGAAGAAGGGGAAGAATTATAGTGAATAAACAAAAATAATATAAAAGTTTGGGAACATCTCTAAGCAGAGCAAACCAGCCCACATTCTTCAACAGTCTCCAGTAACACGGATGTTAACAGATGATATAATGATGGTGCTAAAGAGGACCCTGAGAAAAGCTGAGTAAGACAAGAAAGTGTGCATTATATGCTGGAAAAATATACATCAGTGAGAGTTAAAATTGAAAAGCCAGAGTCCCTAACGTCCTTTCATGACCCATTACTCAGAGACTATTCACTAAGAGGGAGCCAGTTAAATATATTGACTAAGACCTCTGCCCTGGACTCAGTTTCTTATCCCAGCTCTCTGACTCTGAGGCTTTTGGCAAGTTATTCAAATCACTGAGCATCAATTTCCTCGTCTGCAAAATGGACATAATATTAGTGACGACATATGGTTGTTATAAGGCTTAAATGAAAATGTTTGCAAAGCTCTTAGTATAACGCTTGACACATAGTAAGCACCAATAAACATTAGCATCATTCATTCCTTCCTTCCTTCACTCTTCCAGCATAGATTTATTGAAAAACCTATCATTACTGGTAGGCATCCTAAAACATAACATTGTATCAAATAACTGTCTTTGTTCCACATAGAAGTCTGTTACAAACTTCATTTTTCAATAAATTCATTTTTAAAGAGATTCGTATTTCATATTGCTATATTGACAACTTTGATCATTTGTAGAACAAATATTGGGCCATTAAAATGAATAAAACTACTTGAACATTGATTAAATTCTACTTGAACATTGATTAAATTCAAAGGATGACTAATAGCTAACACATACTACGTAGCAAGAACTATTTAGAGCTCCACATATATAAACTCATTTATTCCACACAACAACCCTATGAAGTAGGTATTGTAACTACTTCCATTTTATAGATTTAAAAAACAACAAATGAGGCACAGAGAAGTTAAGTAATTTCCCCAAGGTCACACAGCTATTAGGTGGCAGACTGGGATTTAAACCCAGGGGAGTATGGCTTCAGGGTCTGCACTGTTAAGCACTCCACTTTGCTACCAATTGCATTGATGTCTTCTAGAAAACTTTTAAAGGCCAGCATAAGGCACTTGTAAGCCTAAAGCCCCTGCCTCCTTCCTTCTCCCTGCCCCTGAGTTGGTCCTCCTCACCTTTCTCTCTCCCTCCAGAGGTTCCCTCTTGCCATGCTCTTCTCATGGACACAGAATATATATTGGATGTTCGTAGATATATCTTAATAATCTACTTTTCTGAGAATTAAAAAAAAAAAATCCTTCCTCTGATTTATTTCAGAACTGCAAAGGAAACAGTAGCTGAGACCAAAAATTTCACTACTGGTGAAGAACTTAAAACTCCTGTGTTATTCCCCTACTGCTGACCAGGGAACTTCCTTTTGCATGATTTGAAAATTCTACCAGGCCAGGCTCATCCAGATCTCAGCAATTCCGTCTCCAAAGAGCATTACTTATGAAAATAAGAAGTGTTATATAACTTAATCAATATTTGTTAACTGCTTTGAAAATACAGCATTAAACATTCACACATACCTCAGAGTTATGAGGTTGTTATCTTACAATGAAACACGGAGAGAACACAAGTTCTCTAAGAAACTCTTTAGAAAGTAATTACTTGATACTAATTTCTAATAATGAAATATTCTCTTTGTTACAAAGTGAAAATTTCTTATCAATGTATACCTATTATTAATCCATGTTAAATGAATTCGTGATGCCAGTACTTTCCATTAGTGCTTGCAGTCATGAAGAAAGAACTTATTATGTTCAAGCTGATGACCGTGAAGAATTCAAACACAGCCCTGGCTATTTGGATAAATAACCTAACAACCAAAGTTGGAGTTCTCAACCCAAGTCCTGAACATGACTTATTGAGCAAGACAATTAAGGGCCACCAAGACAGAGAGCAGCTAACTCTCCAGCACCCTCGAGGAAACAAACAATTATGGAGTGAAAATTCACTAAGACTGTGACAATGGGCGGTGGGGGAGGGCTGACAAAGCAGAAACACACATATAAGGAAGTGGAAAAAAAATATTTCTAAAAGGCACAGAAAAGATAAAGCAAGCTATGATTCAAGTACACAGGAAAGTCCCGACACACCCACGTTTGCCCTTCCCTATTCTGCTGTACAGGAAACAAATGCCTCCATCCTAAGGAATGTGGATTAAGCTGATGTTCCCAAGCCTTCTGTATTAGTTTCCCATTGCTGCTATAACAAATTACCATGCACTTTGTGGCTTAAAACAATACAAATGTATTATCAGATAGTTCTGGAGGTCAGGAGTCAAGAAACAGGTCGGCAGGGCTGCGTTCCTTCTGGAGGCTCTAGGGAAGAGCCATTTCCCTGCTTTTCCTAGCCTCTGGAGTTCACCTGCGTTCCCTGGCTCGTGGTTCCTTCCTCCATCTTCAAAGCACATCACTCGACCCTCCGCTTCAATCATCATATCTCCTTCTCTTTGACCCTCCTGCCTCCCTCTTTCCCTTATAAGGACCCTCGTGATTATATTGGGCCCATCCAGGTCATCCAGGATAATCTCCCCATCACAAGATTCTTAATTTAATCACATCTGCAAAGTCCCTTTTGTCATGTGACGGTAACACATTCATAGGTTCTGGGGATTAGGACATGGATATTGTTGGAGGATTATTATTCTGCCTACTAGCCCCTCCTGTGTGACATTTAACTATTTTTCATCTTCCCATTGGGGAAATTTTTATTGTAACTACGAGAGTACTATGACTCTACTTATCATTAATAACAAGTGAAATGAAAGATTTAATAAACAATTCTTACCAGTTTCCAATGAAACGAGGGTCATTCTGGTCAAGGTGAACAGGATTTCTGGGATCAACATAAAAACCAATAAGGAGTCCACCTAATAAATATCCCACCGCAGGACCAAGTGCTCCCATGACATACATGATGGCTGGGAAGACAGAAGGGGAAATGTGAAATACAGCAACGTGTTCTTTGTGTCAGTAGTTGTCTAATTTCAGTCATACCGTGCATAGTTCACAGTTAAATCCAGTTAACAACTTCCAAAAACAGAGAACTTTATAGAGATTGTGTCTAGGTTGACATCTGGGTTTCAAACCATGTCTTTTATTTAACTGTTGCCTGTTGTCCTCCTAGAACATCAGAATCATCTGGAGAACTTTTTGGCTGCTTCTGAAAGTCCAAACTCGGGCCAGTTAATGAGGTAGTCACTGGATCACCAAGAGAAGATAAAAGGTAGTCTCAAGATAAGAAAAAAAAAAAAGTAGATGTCACTTGTGACAGCTGGAAGATTCTAACAGGTTGAGGGAACTCAAGGCTAGTTTTGCCATGAAGCTGGATTCGGTTGAATTGGCAAAGCTGCTTAGGCACTCTCAAATCACTAATATTTTTCAAATCACCATTTTAGAATCAAAGAAGACCTCACAATGCATTTGGTTTATTGCTAATTGAGGAATCTTATTTAAAGATTAATAAATCTCCTTAAATGACATGAGTGAGTAGGTCCAAATGGAAAGCACCAACCCACAGCTGAATTACAAAATTTTTGAAAGCACATGTCTAAAGTGGGGGCGGTGGGGGGGGTTCTTACTGTCAGTAGATCAGAAAGGTTGTCATTCTATCCAAAAAATTTTGCCCATGAAAATGGACTTATAGTAAAAAATAACAACAAATTCACTGTCATTCCTTTACATTTTCTCCATTGCTGTGATTTAAATTTTTTAAATAAATAATATTTTGCTAAATTTTAAGCTTTGAGATAGGATGTGAAATTCCTTGAAAGCCATAGAGAAATCTAGACACACCCGAAACCCAGTTTTCTTCCGTTGAAACTCAGTTATTTGAGTACAAATCAATAAACATTTTTAAAATACTCCTGCGTGCAAGGCATGATAACAAACTCAGGTGGTCCATGTCTCTCATTTCTATTGCCATCATGCATTTTAACTACTGAATAAATAAGTGGTTTGTCATATCCTTTAACCAGTACTATATTTACCAGAAAGTAAACTGGGCTAATCACAATAGCTTTACCTTACTTTTTCATCTGCAATTAAATAAACTTTGAATAATTTTGTACCTCCTGTTACTGATAACTACAGACAGTAATTTAACACCTGCTCTCACTTTTCACACTATTTCAAAAGAAAAAGCACAGTGTTTGTTTATTTTAGCGAGTCATCTGCTTATAACAATAAGACATTAGACATTCTATAAGAAATCCTTCGACTTCTCCACCTGTGTTTGGAAAAGGAGAATGGAGGCACAGCCACAAGTAACTGGTATTCTTTTGGAAGTATGCTTTTAATAAAACAAAATTAGAATTCTGATAAATATCTTGTTAACCTCTCTGTTTGTAGCCTATAACGGAACTCAAAAACAGAAGGTCCTTTTTCCGTTCCAGGTATTCCCTTATGCATATGAAGATAAAATTTATGTTGACACCTCCAGGCAAACCAGCACCGGTTACAACTTAAAACTGTAATGAGGCCAAAATGTGACATGAATAATCTTCCCAAAATAGTTCTTCTGGCATGAAAGAGACTGTCTTACAAACACAGACAGGGAAAAGGGTATTTCCGCCCTACTGTTTATGCCTGGGGCACTCAAGTGCAGAGTCTTGCAGTGCCAAGAAGCAATGTGCAGGATATGCACTGGCAAGACCATGCAATTACCCAGTAAATGGAAAACCAATTAAATAACATTCAACAAGAAACCCTAACTACCTTATGAAATATAGATAAAGCTTTTTAAGATTCAGCTATGTAATCAGAAAAATTATCATTATCTAGCAAACACTTTTAAGTCCAATGGAATCATTCTCATTAACAGAAAAATATATACACGTATATGTATATCTATGTATATACCTTTACTATACACTATACTATATAGTATAGTACAATAACTATACTAATATATATAAAACTCATTGACATGATCCCATTTAGTAAATAAATCATTCTGGCCACTAAGTTATCATTTATTAATTAACCAGTGGCACTAATTCAGAGCTTATTAGAGGAATAAACGGTTGAAATAAACTCATACCACTCACTCCCCTAGTCAAAAATTCCCAATCACCTCCCACTGCCTAAAGAAAAAAGTCTAAACTCTTCTACTTGGAGTTCAAGGATGGGACAAGCTGGCCTTCTGCTGCCATTTCAGTCTAAAAACCCACTGCCTGTACCCAGGGATCCATGCAGACTGACGCTCAGAACAGCCCTGGGCAGAGCCCCCTCCCTTCCTTTGTGATCCCACGGTGCCCCCCTCGGCCTTTCTATCTGTCTGAATCCTACTCATTCTTCAAGGCCCAACCAGGTCCAGCCCTGATTGCCCTCCCCGAGTGGTCTCTCTCCTCAGAATCCCTGTAGACTATATATTGTCTATTCCAGTGGCCTCCACACTTTTTTATCAAGCATCCCTATCAATAAAAGGTTTAAACCTTTACCCACCGTGTACTTTTCTGTGTAAATAATGTGTATGGACCACTAGTCTCTCTCTCACAGCTCCCGTCTAATCTATCAGTAAATCCTGCTGGTTCTACCATCAGATCATATCCAGTATGCAGCTCCTTCTTTGTACCTCTACCCTGGTCCAGGCCACCACTGTCACTCACCTGGAAAATGGCTCTAGGCCTTCCAACTGGTACCCCTGCTCCTGCCCTTACTTCCCTGCAATGTATTTTCAACATGGCAGCCTTAACGATGCACTAGAAACATGAGCCAGATCACGTCACACTTCTTTGCTCACACTCTCCAGTGGCTTCCCATCTCACTCACAGTAAAAACCTTTTACGTGGCTACAGGGACCTGTCTCCACACTTGCACCACCCGCTACTGTCTCTCTGCTTCAGCGCCTGTCCATCTCCTTGTTCACTCAGCTCCAGCTCACAGACCTCCTCGCTCTCCTCCACCCTTTCAGGCACATTCCCACCTTAGGGAGTGCACACTTGCTGTGTGTGTGTGTGTGCGCGCACACGTGTGTGTTGAAGGCTCTTCCCCCAGATAGCCACATGGTTCATTCCCTTACTTCCTCCAGGTAGTTGTTCAAACAGTTCCTTCTCACTGAGGCCTTACTCAGCCATCCTATCTGAAAATTTAAAGCTCTTTCCCCGATTCTTCCCATCCCTTCTCTGCTTTATTTTTCTCCTTAGCACATATCACCACCTAACACACTATATATTTCCTTTGTCACCTTCTTTATCACCTGTCCTCTCCAACTAGAACGTAAGCCCCAGAGAGCAGAGGTTCTTGTCGGTGGTGTTCACTGCTGTACCCCCAGGACCCAGGAGCGTGGGAGGCACTCGACCCACATTTACTCCCATTATTCATTGCCTTCACCTTTCCCACTGGGTCAATGAACGTTCTACTGTCATTAACAGCAGTAAATGTCAGCGACAAATTCTTCCTTGGCGTATATCATCTCTTGAGATACTAGCCAATGACAGTAGATGTCAATCCATATTGCATATGGTGAACTTGATAGTTTTGTTTTTTCACTGTGTCTCATCAGATCTGACTGTACCATCATTGGTTTTCTCTCGTGAGGAGGCGCTGGTACTGGGAATACAGACTATTCAATGAACTAGTACTATAGATATAAATAAAAGTGCCAGTCTTTTCTTCCCGCACCCTCATGGATTGTCTCACACACCCCTGGGTTGTGCATGACTCCCCTTTGAGAGAGCACTGGACCATTCCATTCATTTGAGATTAAACATGCCCTATTCTTTACTTCTACTTATCTCTTCGAATATTTATATCTTATCTTTTGAAATAGCTCTTCATCCTTGACAGCAGGAACCATATCATATATAGTACTATGCAGTAGTTAAAGCACAGATTCCAAACTCCTAGGTTCAAATCCCTGCTTCAGTTCTTACTAATTGTGTGTCATTAGCAAGTTGCTTGACCTCTTTGAGCCTCAGTTTTCTCATCTGTAAAACTGAGATGATAAAAGTCCTCACTCATAGGGTTGTCATAGGCATTAAATGAGTTAATTCTTGTAAAGCCTGTGGAATGTCTGGCACATGGTGAGGACTATATAAGAATATGCTGGTTTTGTTATTATTATTATTTTATATTAACTGATGCACATAGTTTAGTGTTTGGGCATTGGAGACAGTCAATAAATATTTATGGGTTGATTACACGTCCATATTAACCATGTCTTTTATTTTCTGTATTCTGACGCTTTGACATCTGGGACCTTGCTGACCCTGGAGGGACTGCCCTCCCAGGATTGGCCAATCCCTAGACATGGTAAACAACTCACCTGAGAGTGCACTTCTCAAATGCAAACCAACCAATCCAGAGCCCCCACCTGTTTTATTGGCCTCACACTCCAGTCCTCACAATCCACCATCCACCTGCCCTCATCACCCAGGGCCAGGTACCAGACAACCAGGGATAGCCCCCACACCCCAAGCCTGCTGAAATTATTAAACTAGCCAATCCCAAATCTGCTTACCCTGCCTCACCCATTTCTCCCCTGAGAAACCACAATAAAGGTTCTAGCCCACCGTTCCTCCCTCTCTCTGCCTGCGACTGACCCTGGTGCCTCCTCGTGCGGCCCCTGTGGCATGGTGTGCACTCCTTCTTGGTAACTGTAACAAACTGTCTTTTCAATGGCAATCATTTCCTGATCTGTTGGCCTCACCAAACCTCACATTTTCTAATACCTTGTATTTTAGAACAATGTCATAGTCAAAAGAATGACTGTCTCCCTTATTCCCTATCCCACGCCTCTGGCTTCTCCTTTGTCTGGATCTGCTTCCTCCCAACCTTGGCAAGACATACAGGTTCCCCAGCACTTGCTCATTAGTCAGGACTTAGACCCTGAACCCCCTGAAGTCATCTCCCTCTTCTCTCTTCTCTTGCTAACTCTTCACTGCTCGTCTAACGTTTCCGTCCTCACTTGACTCCTACC